TCCTTCTTGTGTGTATATTAGAATTGTTTAACTTTTTTATTTTAACAAATATATTGAAAGCCTGTAAAGGCTCTTACTTTACCATTTTATAATTTTTGATAGTTTATACTTTCAAAAAAAAGAATGTTAAAATTTTTTAGATTTCTCACAATAGCTCTTTCTTTATTTTTAAGTTTCTTATAAGTACTCTTGCTTCTGATTATGCTAAGATGGTTCATTTAGAAATCACTTTATTCTTTTCAAAGCAATCTTTTAAGTTGATATAGTCATTATCAAGTTGATACACATTAGTTATCTTTATAACAATTTGTAATTATTCATAATTCTTTGTTTGGAATTTCTTAGCTTTTTTGGAATTTCCTAATTTGTATTCTAAGGGTAGATGTTAAAGTGCAATTATTGCATCTTTTTGTCATTAATTTGCATGGAAAAAAACAAAGTTGACTTAATTGATATTAATCATCCAATTAAATTGTCTTACATGGCATTAATGTTAAAAATAAAGTTTACTTTCATAATTTTCTATACACATTAATGATAAAAATTTAAAATAAATGCACCCTTAAGCTAGCTTTAAGGATAGTTAAAAAGACCCTTTTTTATGAGCTACTATTCATAATTCTAGAAATTTTAGTATTCATTATTTAAATATATGATTAGTTAGAATTATTTACATTTTAGTCATTACTCATTATCCTAAAATAATGGAATAAATTAAAATCAATTTGCAAAGTGCCACTTTTAATATAATACAATTTGTATTTACACTAAATACATTATATAATTGAAGCATAAGTCAAATTTTATAGTTGGGTAAGTTACTTTAACTTTAATAATATCTAGACATAGAAATCAAATTATTGTATTGTAATTGAAATAAATTTTGAGAAGAATTAGTAAAAAGTTCAATATAATTAGAGAATTATTAAGTGTTATTATATAGAAAATTAATTTAGTATGGAATTATATATATTGTGCTTATCAAGAAATTTGAAAGGGTATTAATTTAATTTAATTTAATTGGGTTTCAACTTCTTCAATAAATTTTTCTTTAAGAGGTCTATTAAGTATTTATTAAGAATTTAAGAGATTTTAAAAGGCATATTGGGTATTTATTTGAGATTTATTGAAGATTTTAATAATTTTATAATATAGTAAGATTATATGAAGAACTAATTTAAAAAGGAATTATATGTATTGTACTCATGAAGAAATTTGGCATATTAATTTAATACAATTGACCCTTTAATGGATTTTCTTTAAGAGGTCTATTGAATATTTATTTAATATTTATTTGATATTTTAAAAGGATTTTAAAGAAATTTTAAAAGGTCTATTTGGTATTTATTTAGGATTTAGAATTTATTGAAAATTTTAACAATTTTTGTAATATGGTATATGGATGTAATTCACGTGGAAGTAATATATATACAAGTGTTGCCCATCTTGTGGTTGGTTGAGACTTTTCTTGACACCACTGTCGACAACATTTTGCACATATTTACAATACTTTTTGTAACTTATGCATTTGGTAAATTATCCATCCTTACTTTTTCGAAAATGAATACCAAAATCATCTTATCCAAAATTAATAGAAATCATAAATCATTTAATAAAATTCCTAAATCTTTTCCGTACATTATATATTAAACTATTAATTAGTTTAATTTTAAATAATAATGTATCTAATTGAGTCCTTTTATAATAAGTAGTTTTTTAAAATATAATTACCAAATACAAATGTTTTTCGTGGCAATATAGCACATCACTTCTAACAGTTACAACTACAGAGTAGTATAAAACATCGTTGTCAAACTAAGCCTGAGATTATCTATCTTGAAATTCTTAATATGAAGGCATCATGATTTGTGGATAATATTCTTTTAGCTAAAAAAATTAGTCAAAATGTCTTAAAAATACCTATAAAGTTGCCTTTCTTGCACCGCCTAGGGTTAGGTTAAAGTTATGAGTTTCTTCCTTTAGGATTCCCTTCCTTTCACAAGAGTTCTCCATTGTTTTCTTTTCTTTTTTTTCTTTTTTCTTTGGGTGTTGCATGAGTCTTTGATCATTTGTTTTGATTTGATCTATATGTTTTAAGGTACTTCATTTTCTTGTGGTGGGGAGAGGATTAAGAGTAAGTTTGGATTGAGGAGAATAGAAGGGTGAAAAGGAAAGAAAATTCTGAGATGAGGGGAAAATTTCCCTTTATTTTCTTTTTTCCTTTCAATTCCTTACTTCATTTTAACATTTCCAAATGAGGGAAGGAGAGAGAAATGGAACTCCAATTGCTTCCCCTCTGTCTACCTTAATCTAAACATACTTGAAAGCTTGTTGGTAGCTATTTGTGAGAGGCCTAGAGTTATGGGCGATTGGTTATGTGAGGGTTAGGGCTAACATGTGGTTGGTTGCTTTGTCTAGTGCTTAGTTTTTCTTGGCAATGGATTTGTTGCAATATGGCAGAGAAGAGAGAGTGACTTTTCCTAGTTCAATGAAGGAAAAGCTAAGATCTATCTTAGGGTGAATTTGTTTGACAAAGCATAAGGCATAAAGATCTTCTTGAGTATAGCTTTGGTTGTGCATGAAGGGGCACAAACCCCCTCCAAGATTGTACTTCTATTGATGTGGTTGGACTTTTAATGGGCAGGGACCATTGTTGGCTTGAATACATACTTTCCCTTAAAGCTAGCATAATAGATGTGATTACTTGATAGCTAAGGATGCTTATAATGGTGATCTTTCTATTTTCATAGCTTTGTTAGTGCTCATTTGGTGATTACCTTTGTAATTTCTAGTGGTGGATGTCTCTTTTTATTTAATTATTTTTAGAGATAATGTACATATAAAGATACAAATTTTGTTTTTTTTTATTTATTTAAAAATGTAAATTTTATTAATTTCTAGAAAAAGACTCTAAACTTTTAACTTTTTATTTATTTATTTATCGATGTCAACTTTATATTTTTCTATTTAAGAAATAATTAAATGATAAAAAAATCCATTTGTAACATTAATATAACCATCTAATTAATATTTAAATAAAAAAATACAACATTGATATTTTTAAATAAAATATATAAAAGTTTAGCATTTTATTTAAAAATCAATAAAGTTCACATATTTCTCATTATTCTTTTTAAAAAATAAAAGAAATAAAAGTCATTTAATTTTTTAAACTTAATTAATTTGGTGTTTAATTGTTGAAAAAAAGGTTGGGTCCTTACCCTTTGGAAATCGAGTTGAGCAGGAACGGAGCTACCATAGGACGAGGGGGGGGGGGGTGTGGGGGAGCCGCCCTCCCTAAGCTTTTGAAAAATGTTTAATCTAGTAGATCAATTTTTAATGAGGATAAAATTTGTTTTTGATGTTTGAATTACAAGAACTTTTTGAATTTAAAGAAAATATTTAGGAGTTAGGTAAAGGGACCATTTCCTTCTTTATAATCAATTCTTAAGATAGATAATTTTATTTGGGTATAAAAAAGATTTTACATTAGTTATAATTTTTTATACAATTTATATTTTATCAATTTAACAATTGGATTTGATATTCTAATTGAAAGTTCAACAATATTTGTAATCATATAAAAAAAGAAATTATATTTTATATGAGATTAGTATTTATTTACTAGACTTGCAAAAAAAAAGGTGAAAAATATTTTAAAATTAGGATATTCTAATAAAGTATCACAAAAAAATACTAATATATTTTTTATTCTTAGCCTAAAAATATGCCAATTTAGTCTATTTATTTTAATTAAATTTTATTTAAATAATATAATTTTGAAATACTTTTTTCATAAGGTTTTTTCTCGATCCAACTTATTAACATTTTTCTTATTATTTTGTACTATTTATTTAAGGATATTAAATCTTATGTTATTTAAAAATAATTAAATATATTTAATTAATTTAAACTTTGGCATATATGTTATAAATAGTACATTTACTCATAAAGTAATAATTAATATAAATTGATATAACTTTTTTGTATATAAAAATTATGGATCAAACTCAAGATTAGGAGTGGCAATTTGCCCTAATCCCCTTAGGACCCGTGGGGATCCCCGCTATGGGGGTGGGACGAGAGGAATATTTCTCTTTGTGAGGTGAGAACGGGGGGGCATTTTTCCCTGCAAAATTACACAAGGAATTTTCCCTGCACCACGGGGATCCCTATCCACACAAAAAATTTAAAAATATATATATTAATTTTATTTTAAATTTAATTCACCCCATTATAGTGATACATAATATATATTTTAAACTCAAACCCAATCTAATAGAAATTAAACTTAATCCAAGTATGTTGGTTTAGTTATTTATGTTGGATTGATCTTTATTTATGTTTGAAATAAGTATTTTGGTTTAGCTATTTATGTTGAATTGATCTTTATTTATATTTGGATAATTTATATTTGATTTTATATTTAGAGAATTTTAGTTAATTATAATTGAATTTCTTAGAATTTTGTTCATTGTAATTGAATATTGTTAATTATATGTAAAAAATTTATATTTTGATATAAATTAATGAGGAATGGAGATCCCTACATGGAATGGGGATTAAGGGCAAAATTTACACTCATCAAAAATCCCTATAGGAATCTCGATCCCTACTATTCATGTGAACGGAGACAAGGATAGGGAGGGGTTTCCTAACCCCGTGGGACCTTGTTACCATCCCTACTCAAAACCTATAACTAATAAAGGAGAATGAAGGTGGGAGGGAACAATTTCCTTTACTTTATTCTTTCTTTTAATTTAATTATTTATCCAAATAAAAAAAAAAGATGGGAGGGAAATAGAGAGAGGGAAAGTATCATAACTCTATCAATAAATTACAGAACTAATAATTAAAAATTGATATAAATTATATTGATATAAACTTATTATAACTCTTAAGAAATTTTAAAATTTTGTTCTCCCTCACCAAAAGCCTAGCTCTGTCCTTGGAGTTGAGGCTACTTATTTAAATGAACTCAATGAATTAACACCTCCGAACCATCAAGGTAGTATTTAACCCAGGAGAGTTTGGCTTCTCTTTTTCTTTCTTTTTTTTTCTTTTCTAAATATAAGTATTTTTGTTACAATAAAGGAGAATAAAGGAAGGAAGAAATGGGATAGGAGTTGATAGAGTCTTCTTCTTTTCTTTTTTTTTTTTTTTTTTTTTTTTTTTTTTTTTTTTTTGTGAATGTTGGTATAAGACTCAAATTTCATACCTCCGAGCTTGCATGAAAAATCCCCAACAATAAAATAGGGGCCAAGGCCACTAAGAGATTCTCAGGAGTTAATTGAGTTTGAATATAGTTTATTGGATAAATTTCACATGATCAATGACAATATTACTTGTACCTATAACGTGGATTTTGAGTTTGGCTAAATTTTTAGTATGCACCAAGTTAAAAATTTAACTTTGATTTGGATAAAGTTAGCAGTATTGGAATAATTTTACATTTCATTCTTGTCTGCTTATTATTCCAATTCCAATAAATTTTTTAATTTGGACTCTCTATAGGCCTCTAGGGTTGTTGTTCTTCCTTTTGTGCCTTTGAACTCTGAGCAACCAAACGTAACAAAAAGAAGCAGGGTTACACGCTATATTCCTTTTCCTCACTGTTTTTAAATCAAAACTACAGCAGTCAGCAGTTACCACTGCTACCGCCGAACCAACATGCCCCCTGAGCTTCTAGACTTCGAGCCTGTATTCGGCGAACCCAAAGTGCAGTGGGCAGGCTCGGCTTCGACTCAATCAAGTGGGTTTTTGTTCCATGTTCACGCTCCTGAATCATCTCAACTCAAAATTGAAGTCACGAATTTCCGTTCCAGCACTTGGGAGGCCGTACGCACTGTTTTCCAACTTGAGGACATGGTATCCTTTCTCCCTTTGTTCTTTGGTTCTATGATGGTGTTTAGAATCATTTCTTCTAATTAATCCCTTTTCTCGCATCATTCCTTGCAGAGGGACAATGTCGGAATAGGGGGCTCTTGGTCTGAGTTCGTTGCCTACCTTTTGGACTCTCTTAAATCTGAAGACGTGAACATTGTTTTCGAGGGCCATTCCAAACAACATGGTAACTGATATTCTCTAATCCTAACTAATTTGATTTCGTTATCTGGAAGATATTCATGTTTAGTCAGTGACCAAATGGTATAATACTATTTAGTCATGTTTGTGGCTATTTCTTGGTTAAACTACAAATATAAAAACAAGTTAAATATAAAAACTTTCCTTGGAAGGTTGGAATAACTAGGCCTTCATGTTGAGAATTTTTTACTAAACTAATGGATGAATGAGGAATATGTTTTCCTTCCATTTTTTAAGGAATAGGTATTCCTTTTATTTGCTAATGTAAAAGGAAAATTAGACATTAAGGCATAGCTATTCCTAACTTCCAACAGAAGTTTCTGAGTTTTATGTTGTTTTTGTAGTTTTACCAAGAAATAACCATTACACCAACAAAACATGCCGTTTGGGTGTATGTTTTAACCTTGAATTGTTATGAGCTTTCATAGTTTTGGTAATAGATTGCATTTAATATCTAATGCATTCTGTTTAAGATGCTGAACATGCAAAGCTAGTTGCTCAGAAGTCAAAAGGAATGCCCCGAATTTCGTTTTCTCTTACAAAACTTGTGGGTTCAGCTGCTACTGATGCTAATGCACATCTGTCCATTGAGCTTTTCAAAGCATTCAAGAGATTGCAATATTTATGCGGGCAAGGTGCTATTTTCTTTTCTCTCATTTGTCAAATTCTTTGTTCTCATCATGTTTAGGACAGAAATTTTGTTGCATTTGCAGATTCGTAATTTTGCTTGCATACATACAGAAGCACGCACATTTCAATTTTTTGAAACAAACAATTGTTGCACTCTTCTTTATTTTGTCTTCAGAACAAGCGTGCTCTTCTCAATTGACAAAAGTGTTATCTGCCCAAGCGGTATGCCTCTTTTCTTAGAAGTGTGTGAGGAAGTATACTTTAATTTTTGTTTTACTTCTATGTACCACTAGGTTATTTAGTTATATCTAAGTCATCATTTTGTAATGTGGATCGTACTATTATCTATTCTAACAAATGATGTTGTAAGCAAGGTAGTCTTCCTTTCAGTCACATTCTGGAAGCATAGAAGGAAGACTTGTATGCCTTTTATGTTCTTATCAATTATCATGAGCTTGTCATGAATTGTTGATCATGCAGTATATTGCCCCTTGATTCCTAAGGTTTGAATTTGTTGCTCATGCCTGCTTTATTGGAGATAAGCTTGTGATAATTGTTGTTCCGTGGAATTGGAGTTGTATTTGTGCTTGTCTCTTCTAGATATTTATACTTGTCTCTTCTAGATATTTATACTGCAAATTGTTTTGTGAGACATCATCATTTGTTCCATTACTCATTATTGAATATGATACTAAGATATATCAGTTATGGCAGCTTTTAAATTCTTGCACTTCCTGTAGCAAATGAGCACCTATTTTGCTAAATATGTCTTTCTATTCTCCAGGAGAAAAATAAAAGTTTCCAGGGCCAACTGGAGGTGTGTCTTAAGAGGCAGAAGTCAGACAAAGCAGATTTTTCTGCCCCTCTGATGATTAATGGCCAAAATTCTCCAGGTGCATTTAATATGCAGTTCTATTTGAAGTTTTTCATTATTTTTATCTGTCATAATTACCTTGCCATCTTCAGATAAGGACCTAATGTTAATTATTGATACCATGTTGATGATATATAAGTTTTTGGAGAAAAATCAGATATGGTATTCTGGCTTGTATATCTTTTTGGTTCTTATGGTCCAATTATTTAATTTTAACTAGTCAAAGTGTTCATCTATAATCTATTCCCACCTTCAACTTTCTTTCTTCTCTTTTTTGTGCTGTTATATGGCTCTGTTTGTTCTCATCCTTGTTTTATAACAGCTAATTTTAAGCTGTTATGATGCCACTAGAATAATGAACCTATTTTTCTTCCTCCCCCCTCTTATCTTTTTTCACTAATTTATCTGTCAACTGGACTGCAGACAAGCAAGCAGCTCGAGATCCTGGCCCAACAAAAGTAGTTAATCGTGTTGTACCAGCTTACAGGAGGTACTTGAGTTTCTTTTATTGGTTCATTTCATCACTGCAGTTATTCATACCAATGACTGGATGGGTGTTAGCAGGGCAAAAGTGAGGGGTGCTGTCCTACAGGATGATGATGAAGACAAGGATAACTAGAAGTTAATCAGACAGTTTGGTATACCCTGTTTTCAGATCAAAGTAATAGAACTACCATTTTCATGTACTGCGTGAGAAAAAATTGTCAAACTAAGGGAAAGGGAAGAAATCTCATTTAACCTTTTAGAGTTGTTTCCCTGTAGTTGCAAGTTTCCTGCTGTATTCTGCCCCTGTAAATGTAATAGTTGTGTTCATAATCAAACACTTGTGCTTCTTGGGGCATATAGATTCACCTACAGTGCGAGTTTTGTCAGAAGGCCTGAATTTTCACCTTCTCATTCAATGATCACATATGCTTTATCCATATGGAAAATGTAATCTGGTTTATGTCAAATATTCATGTTTATTAATTTTCCTTTAATCTAGAGTATCAAATTTTGCTTCTTACTGAACTTTGGTTTCTTTACCTTTTTCATTTTTTGTAAGCAAAATCTGGTTTTTGTTTGTCATCTCAATGAAAAATTAAACTTGCACTTGTTCAACTAAATATTTCACCCTTTACTTTAGGTAAACTGCAAGCATACATGTGGCATAATAATGACATCTTGTTTATAGTTCTCTTTTGCAGTTCCTCTACATCAGGGTCCATCTTGCTCACACAAATAGGGAAATCACTAAAGTAAATGAGCTACTTGAGTATCTTTTACTGATTTCTTTTTGTACTATCCAAATGATGATGACTCCATAGAACAGCTTTTCTCAAAAGATCAAGGTTCGGAGAAAGCTGAAGCCTAAACTGTGAAATTCCATTCTTTTTCAGAAGATGCAGCTTCCTCATTCCTCCATTTTGCTTTTCTTGGATTGGAAGAACAGCCAGCAACTGGGGAAGGAATTTGTGTTATCATGCCTGCAGGTAATCAGAATGCAAAGGTTTGCTTAGTTTTTATGAATCATAGAGGTTCCTTTCTCTTTTCTTTATTTTTCTGATTATATTTGTCTTTGAAAGATATTCCGTCATTCAATTTGATTTTTGAGAAAATAATAAACCAAATCCTCCTTAAGATTTAACTTGTTTGCAGATCAAACGATAAACAAAATGTTACAGAAATTAAATTGAAAATTTTCAGTTTGGTTCAATTGCATGTATTTCTTTTCTCTGGCCAGGAATTGGATTTATTACTCTTTTTCATATATTTTAAGGTAATTCAAATGCATAACTATCAATCAAATCACCACAAATGGGAAAAATATACTTCTCACACTTTAACTTTGCACATAATTTCAAATAATGCATATAGTATATGAATGATAATTTTATTTTTTATTTTTTTTACTAATATGTACTTTTTATTGAGTAGTTTCACTTGATTGAAAATTTTTTCAGTTGTCATTAATTAAAATTATGTACAAAAGTGAATTGGTCCTGAGGGAGTAAGCATAAAGTACCTGCTTTGGCTGGAACTGCTGTTTGTGCTGCTACAGCTTGCGCTACTGCAGCTTCTGCCACTTCTGCTGGTATATTTGCCCCTGTTTTTACCATTCCCTCCTTTGAAAATCTTTTTAATCCACCATTGCTTCTCTGCATGGCTGTCTGATTCCTCTGACTCAGGCAAGGGCGTAGAAATGTTAGATTCATTTCCAGCTTTTGCTCTCTTCTTCAAATTCAAACCAAGGGAAGTTGGAAAAAACAACTTGATCAGGAAAGCATCAGTATCCATACTTCCACTTCTAGATATGTGATTTGATTTGATGCTTTTCTTTTTCCTCTTTTTCTTCTGCTTTTCTATCTCATTTTCAGATTCAGCACGAAAGCTTCTCTCTTCAACCATAATAATTTCTTCATTACCCCCTGCTACATGCTGTTCATCTACAATATCCTTGAGAGATAGCTCGTAGGAGGACTCTGGCATATTTTCAATCATCTCCATAAGCTTCTTCCTGCCTTCTGCAATTATATGTGATTGTGTCCCTAGGTTACTGTACTGATGGTTGTAGGGAAGGAGAGGAGAAGATTCATGTCTAGCATCTCTCATTTCATTTTTTTTCCACAAGGGTGGAGAGCAAGAGCCAGGGCCCTCTATGGTATCTACCTCAACTTGAAATTTCATTTCGTTTCCATCCAAATTACTGAATTTGTTATTGTACCAGGCTTGCCTTGAGTCCCAGAAACCAAAATCATGATCTCCTGTACCAGTACTAATCTGGAAGTCTGGATTGATTGAACTAAGGGGGTTTCTGGGAACTCCTGGCTGATGGTTCAGCATGATTCTGTTTGGAAGTGAATGAAACTGTGAGGGCAGATGCAATCAGCTAGGAACTTTTGTTGGGGGAAACATCTTAATGGGAAGCATAAGAAGAAAGATTGTGTCATTTTCTTAAAGGAGAATGCTGTGCTGCAGTCTGCCTTGTACGGACGGCATTGCTTTTAACCATTGATGAAGGAGTGGTAGGCTCCTAAAATCAAGAGATTGACCTCCTCCATCAATGGTTAAGTGAAATACAATTTGTATAGAGCGAATTGCACTTCACTTTTTTATTCTCAAAAACTTTTCTATTTTCAAAAACAGGGTAAATAGACAATTAAAAGTCATTGCCGTCCTTAATGGATGAGAAAGTGTATGGTCCAATATTTCGATTTTTCTGCACCTGTCATCTTCAGTCCTTGTTTCTGGAAAAAACTCCAATGACTAAAATAAGTCTGATTTAATACCAGTTAAGTTTCATTTGCAATGCGTTGTTGACTCTCTACCCTTTGAGTCTCCCAGGAAGGACGTTAGAAATTGGCTCTTGAATTTTGAAGGAGAAATCTTTTGCGGTAGCAAATTAAGCTGAATGCGTTCTCCATGTCAAGCCACGCCAGCAGTGGGGTCAATAGTCTTTACTAAGTACAAAGGTGAGAGGTTTACAGCTAACAACTAACTTTTATTGTATAAAACAAATCCTCTTGGCAATATCTCAAAAACAAAAACAAAAAAAAAAAAATATCCCCTCGGCATTTTGAAGAAAATGTCTAGCACTTAGGTGCTGTTTGGATGGAAAAACTTTTTACAAACTAATGTTATAATAAAATATGGATAAAAGTAGTATTTTTAATTTTTATTTTTTAATATGATTTTTAATTTATAAATTTTTTTTCACATTTAAAAAATTCTTTTAATTTTTTCTAAATAAGATCCACTTCAGAATTCTTTTACAAATTTAATGACCCAATTTTTAAAAAATTTATTAGTTTTTTTATATAATTTTTTAATAATTTTTTTAATAATTTTTTAATAAAAACTTACTAAAATTAGCCCTAACCAAACATATCCTTAATTTGCATTTGGGGCATGTTCGATACGGCTGATTTGATGTGTTTTTTTATTTTATACTTTCTGGATAAATTATGGTGGATTTGCTGTCATTCATTTTTGTTCACTGTTTGTCCATATTGAAAGGGTAAAAATGAGTTGGGACGTAAATCGTGAACCTAGCTCTGTGATTTTTCTATACGGAAATTGGTTCTGTGGTTAACACGACACTTAACTTTATAATAATGGATAATTTAACTCCAGTTCAAAAAAACTTAATAATAATGGATAGGATTTTAAAACAAAAACAAGTTGATTATTAGAAAGCAGACAGCAGGCTTCTAAGAATATTCTTATCAGTTTTTCAGGAAAAAAATATTCAGAAAAGCCAAGCAAATTTTTTTGGCCTGACTTCTAAATTCTGGCGCAAGATTCAAAAAGAGATAAAATAGATAACAATTAGTTATAACTAGTTATAGCAACAAAGAAAAGGTAAGTTTTTATGAGAAGGAAATATTTTCGGGTATTTTGGCTGGAAACAAGATTGAAATTGTTGATGTTCTAATTAGTTATAATGAGAAATAACCCTTATGTCTCTCTTGAATCTTCTGCACAGATTGAAGCTAAGCCAAAAAAAATTTGCTTGGCTTCTTCCCTGGATATCTTTTCTTAGGAAACTGACAAACCAAACGCACCTTCACCTGTGTATGGTATAGAAATGATTTAATTCATTTCCAAATGAAATTATTAAAAAATAAATTTTTATATTTTAAAATTTTTTTTGTGTTTTTGGTTTTGAAAAATAAATTTTATTTCATTAAAAAAAATCAATTTATTAGAGAATTCATTTGGAAATTCATTTATAAGTAAATTCTTATATTTAGAATAATTTATGAAATTATAGAATTTAATTGAATTTTAAGAAATTTTATATTTGAAATAAATATAGAAAGGGTTTAATATTTAAATTTTATATCAATCAAGATGGCATAATGATTAGAACTAGGATACTGAGTCCCATGAAACAATATCCCTATGTTGCAGTCCTCAAAAAAATTCTGCTGATTTCCACACTCGCAGTAAATTTCAATCAGAGCATCAAACACCAACATATAAACAAATAACCTCTACTGCTTGTTCTAATGATTTTCCCGTGCATCTGTTAACCTTTTGCAATTAGTGCTAAGTCGGCACAAGCACTTAGAAAACTGACAAAAGTATAAGCACTAGGCAAAGCCCCTGCCTCCAGCATTTTCCAGAAGTAATTAATACTTCATTCCTGCGCCCATTTTTCATAAAACCATTAATCAACGCTGTCCGGGCAGCTGTATTTTTAACTGGTTCAGCATATGAATATGCAACAATCATACTCCAACTTGAAAGCCCTGGCATAAGCAACCAATAATATTGAAGTCCATCACACAATATCCCTCACTACCATTCCACAAAAACTAGCATGCGCGTTGTCAGCTTCTCCACATTTAGTATAAGCATCAAGTAAAGCATTGCTAATAATTAGATTCAAGTTTCAAATCGATACCAATAACTATAGCCAGGCCATGAACTTGACACAACAATGCCAATGCACCCGAGCAAGCACAAGCACCCATGACACTAACAATCGCGTACTTGTCAATAAACACATGATTGTACACCATTTGCATTTCTTTGAGAACACTTATCGATTCTGTGTAATACCCATGACAGGATAAACCAAAATAATTAACGAATTACAGTTAACAAGAATTGGTTTTGGTATTTTATCAAACAGGTAGCGTGCTTGATCAAGTCGACCACATGGCAAGTACCAATTCAGAAGCACGTTTCTTGAATAGGAATTCTTGAGACGGAGATCATCAAAGACTTTTTGAGCGCATTCTATTGCGTTACACTTGGTGTACGTCTCCAGCAAACGGTTGCCAAGGAAGGGTTCAATGGTGAGACCAGTTTTCATTAGACGCGAATGGAGGACCGTGAGGCTCTTAGTCGTAATGCATTTTGAGATGAAGAAGGGTGAAATGATCAAAACCTGAGATGATTTCACCGAAAAAATGACCAGTTTTTTTTTTTTTTTTTTTTGAAACTTAAATATTTTAATAAAAAAATAATAAAATAATATATTTTATAAATTAAATTTATTGTCTCATTAAGAACTTGATCAAATTAGTTGTATGTAGGTTAATTGTTTTATTTAAAGGCATATTATTTTATAATAATTGCCCAATTTATTACTATTATTAACCTACAAATGAAAGTTATATGATCATGACTCTTATAAATGGAGCATATCTTTTCGCTCAACAAAAGGAAGTTTCTTCTATTTTGCTTACCTTACTTCATCTTTTAAATATTATTGGGTAAAAAAACTGTATTTTGACTTATATGACTTTATGAGTAGTACAAATTGATTGAGTGTAATTATAAAATTGAAGCATCATTGGATGACATGCTATGTATATCTCTACAGCAGAATACCTAAATTCACCCCCAAACTATAGTGGCAGGGATGAATCCATATTTGAACAAAAAACGAGGATAAATCCACCTACAAAGTTTTCGATTTTGACAAATTACATCAAATTTAACGTGTGACGTCATCTGACGTTAACAATCCGTTAATTTGACATCATCAATCTGTTATTAGCGACATAACAAATTAACGAATTGCTGACATTAGATGACATCACACTTTAAATTTGAGGTGGTTTGTTCAAGTCGAAAACTTTATGGGTGGATTTATCCTGTTTTTTGTTTGGAGGTAGATCCGTCCCTACCACTATACTTTGAGAGTGGATTTGGGTATTTTGCTTATCTCTACTGCACTAGTCTATCTACTCTCCTCAGAAACCTAAATCGACTTAAAGTAAATAAGTTTTTCATGCCTATTTTGATGATAATTTCTTATTGATATTTTCTGATAAGTTTACTAATTATTATTTTATTTAATTTTGTGACTGAGGTACAACAAAGACATGATGTGGAGATGGAGAAGAATGTTAAAGGAACAACAATTTTAAGGCAATTCAAAATGGAAAACGAAAGTGAAATATATGACGCATTGTGCAAGCATAATAGAAGATTCTAATTTTTCTTGATGTGTATGTGCCAAATAGGCATGAGTTCTCGATAAAAATCTAATCCAAAAAAAAAAAAAAAAGGACGCCATACATTACTTTCTATACTTTTGCTGTTGAATAATGCATGCAAAAATGTGTTCTATTTGTACCTAACGTATTTCAATGGCAACAAAAGAAAAAAAAAAAAAAAGGACTTTCTACATGTAATTTTAATGTCTCCCTTATACATGCATTGATTCATATATGAATTTGTGATTAATTTGGCATAAAGATACATGACCATTCACAGGCATGCTTTCTATCTGCCATGATTATTATTAGATGCTTCATTAGTAATAATTATAATAGAAAATTGTCAAATGCTAATAGCCATATTTATGGGATTAATGAGCTAGCTGTTTGCTCTTATGCATATGGTAAATATTTGGTTTATTTCCCAATAATGTAGAACTACCTATGAGAATACCCAACCCGAATTCCAAGAATTTAGTTTTGAATGGGAAAAATGAATTATAAAGAATTCGTTGTTGAAAGATGCAATAATATTTAATAAAAAAAAATTTTCAATCCCATTCCTAAGGTGAGGATGCATCTATCCATAACGAATTGAGGGTTAAGTTATATACTCTTAATGAAATTTGTAGCTCAATGAGTGAGGTGTCTTAATTATGGGAGCATCCTTGACAAATTTCACCTATGTGGGTGTTGAAGTGAGGTAATTTCTATGAAAATTAGATGGGCAATTTCTAGATCACCCATGAAAAGTGGGATCATGCGCAAGGCTATAATGTGCCATCTATGTGGAAAACTCAACATTTGGATCATTATGTGTATGATACGATTCTTGTATCTTCCAATAAAGTCATAATTCAAGACTTAGTTCCCTATTGACTTTTAATTAAGAATTGTTGACTCACTAAGTAAAGGTTAAAGGCTTAACTACCTTTATTATGCATAATAATCCATTTTGCCCAAAAGAAAGGTTTATTTTTTATTAAAATAGTGGGAAATTGTTGGAACTTAAATATTTTAATAAAAATAAAATAATATATTTTATAAATTAAATTTATTATCTCATTAAGGACTTAGTCAAACTACTTGTTGTAAATTAATTGTTCTACTTAAGAGCACATTATTTCATAATAATTGCCCAATTCGTTACTATCATTAACTTACAAATGAAAGTTACATAACTATGACTCTTATAAATAAGACATGTCTTTTTGCTCAACAAAAAATAGTTCCTCCACATTCTTCTATTTTTCTTATCTTACTTTATCTTCTAAATATTTTTTGGCAAATAAGGGTGTTTTGAGTTATGTGACTCTATGAGTAATGCAAATTTATTAAGTATAATTATAAAACTATAACATTTTGGGGACGATATACTATGTGTATCTTTATTGCACCGGTCAATCTATTCTTCACAGAGGCGTGAATCTCCTCGAAGTAAATAAGTTTTTCGCGCTTATTTTGATATTAATTTTTTGTTGATATTTTCTGATAAGTTTACTAATTATTATTTTATTTGATTTTGTAATCGAGGCATAACAAGAACATGATGTGGTGTGGAGATGGAGAAAAATGTTCAAGAAACAAAATTTTTCATAATATTGGAGCAAAAAATGTGAAACAAAGAACGAGGTACTGTAGGGTAATGTACTGAAAATAAAGCCAATAGAAGCTGGCAAAGTAAAGGCAATAGAATAAGATTTACATTCCTTAACTTGAAATTTTTTCTACACACACACAACTAATATAGCAAGCCTGCAAAATGTAGAGAAAATAACAGTACAATTGTTTGGTGGATATTTCATTGGTTAAACCCTCATTTTGGTCCCTCAACTATCGTACGGACCCCCGACTTAGTCCCTCAACTCAAAAAATCCCTGATTTGGTCCCTACTGTTTACCATTTTGACCCCAATTTAGTCCTCCATGTGACATGTCCCGTTAATTAACTGGAGAATGATGACGTGTCTAAATAACTTGACACATCAGATGCATACTTGAAA